TCTGTAAGTCTAGGTTGGATATATTCACACTTGTAATGGGCTTAAGAATTCAGTTTAAACATTAGTTGCCAGTGCTAACCTGCCTGCTCACACATTCACCTTTTTGTTTTCCTGTCCTGGCCAGTGGGGAGAAGAACAGGTATGTGGGCCCTGCTCTGAATGCAGGCCCCAGACACAGGGACTCTTTGGTGCTTGGGGCCAGGATGAGTCATACACACACACAATTGCGGTGTTAGGGAACCGCCTGCTGGCAGAGCCCATGCTAGTCTGCGGTGGCCCGGTCCAAAGAGCCAGTTACCAGAGGCGGCATATGTGTGTAGTATGTGTTTTGTTTTTATTAACTTTTGCATAAAGATAAAAGAATATGGATAAAAAACATACAAGTTATAGAGAATAATAATACAATAAGCACCTTTGAAGCTCCCGGTCCCCTCTGTGCTCCTCCCAGTGGGGCTGGCTTCTTCAAGTGGAGTTTTATTTCTTTTTTTTTTCCTTAAAGATTTTATTTATTTATTTGAGAGAGGGAGAGAGAAAGTGAGTGAGTACTAGTGGGGGGGTGGGCAGAAGCAGACTCCTTGCTGAGCCCAACATGGGGCTCGATCCCAGGACCCCGAGATCATGCCCTGAGCCTGAGCTGAAGGCAGCCGCTTAACTGACTGAGCCACCCAGGCGCCCCTAGAATTTTATTTCTGAACACCTGAGGCTCAGAGAGGGAAGGGGACTTGCCTGAAGTTTCAGTTTGTCAGTAACAGAGGCAGAGACTGGATAAGCCACCCTGTGAGTGTGGTGGGGAATCTGATTCCCTCTGACCCAGTAAGTCTGATGAAGGGTGAGCCTTTCGTCTCATCAGGCCCTGGTCATCTCTGACATCTCTGACACCTGGTGCCTGGAACAAGCTGTCCTGTGCCCCAGGTCCCCAGCACCGTGTGCTCTGGCATATAGCTTTAGTCCTCTGGCCTGTCAGCCAGCAAAAGTGAGTAGCAGCTCCCTGTTCCTGCAAAGGTCATCACAGGCCAGAAGCCAACTGGATGCTGGTGACAGTTCCTCAAGGCACATGGGAACTGTCTATAATTGCAGCCGGGAGCTGCATGGGAGCCTCTCCTAGTCTCTGTGCACTTTGTCACCTTCTTGTCACCCTGTCTGAAATCCAGAGTGGCAAGGCAAGGAACAATGACCTACCTGGGCTGTCAGGCCGTAGGAGTTTTGTTTTAGGAATAGCGTCTATCTTTTTCAGCAAAATAATTTCCAGGGGATCAGAAAGAACCGCTGAGAGGGGCATCTGACGCTTCGTTTCGGCTCAGGTTGTGATCTCAGGGTTGTGGAATCGAGCCCTGCTTTGGGCTCCACACTCAGCACGGAGTCTGCTTAAGACTCTCTCTAGCAGGGCGCCTGGGTGGCTCAGTTGGTTAATCGGCTGCCTTCAGCTCGGGTCATGATCCCAGGATCTTAGGATCGAGCCCTGAGTCGGGCTCTCTACTCTGTGGTGGGGAGGCACTGCTTCTCCCTCTCCCTCTGCATGCCACTCCACCTGTTCGTGCGCGCACTCTCTGTCAAATAAATAAATAAAATCTTTAAAAAAAACTCTCTCGCCCCTTCGCCCCCACCCCTAAAATAAATAAATAAATCTTTAAAAAAAAAGAACCACTGAGAAATGTAAACAGTGATGTGGGAGTGGAGGAATGGCAAATAGATTTGTTCTCCTTTCTTGAGGTTGTAACATTGTTTACTAGTAATTCTTTTTTTTTATTTGCGAGAGAGAGAATGAGAGAGAGCACGAGAGGGAGGAGGGTCAGAGGGAGAAGCAGACTCCCTGCTGAGCAGGGAGCCCAATGTGGGACTCGATCCTGGGACTCCAGGATCATGACCTGAGGCAAAGGCAGTCGCTTAACCAACTGAGCCACCCAGGCGCCCTACTAGTAATTCTCAATGCATGTATCCCCTTTCCCAGACTTCTTGTTCTGGGAGCAAG